AATAGTTAAACTTGCATTGATTTCTGCTGACTTCACATGCTTAGGATTCCAGCTGTACTGTGGAACTTGAGATCTTGGTGTTTCACAGAGGCTTACCTGCCACAGCTGTCTAACGCTTCCTGAAATATTGAGGACAGCTTCTCTGAAAAGTGTGCAGGCTGGAAACACCACTCCAGGTGCCCTTGTAGCCTTAGTAGGTGCTACTACCTGCCAGGCTGCTGTTTGTCCATCCATTTTACAGAGAAAGCCCGTGCCTGGTGGGCTCATTTCCACATATTCCCAGGTCTGCATCTCAGAATGGACACGTGCTGCTATCCTCCTCATTCTGACTATTCCAAGGCATTCTTACTGGATATTTTAGCTGAGTTTTGACTAAGATTATTTTGCAAAGAGAATATTCTATTTTATTCTTTTTTATGTGTCTGATGTCTAGGTGCTGCTATGTATATTTTCTTCTTGCAGTATTTTCTAAATTCACATCTTCTTCAGCTCTTGACAACAAGATCTACTGCCTAACACGTTAGTGCCTTTATTTCTATATATAATTGCAAAGAGATTACTTTGAAATGTATTTCTGAAACGGGTATAAAGAACAACGTTTACTAGTAAGTTTCCCGTAACTTCTTTTCATTGAGAAAAGGCGCAAAAAAGAGTAATGATATTGCACTTCTGCTGACTACTCTGCTTGACTGATTCACAGGGTATTTGCTCTTAACATGTTGTAGGAGTTAAAAAAAACATGTCAAACTTTTTTTGGCACCCAGCTCCAGTAGCTCCTGTTAGAAGAAACATATGGCCTCACACTAACAGTGTTAAAGCACTGCTGAAGTATTGCATGCACGACATTGACAAATTTCCTCTAGGCTTTTTGTTTTCTGTGCTATTAAGCATTCAAAGTCCACTATTTCATTACCACTGATGATACAGAGAGCCTTATTGACATTCTATCCATCTGTTCATAACATGCATTATTAAATGTGAAGCAACTAGTAGGTAAGAGTGCACTTGCCAGCTGTACAATGAATTCTCAGTAGTTTGGTGCCCTCTATAAATTTTCTAGTATTCTGCCAGTTTCTCAACATAATTTGCAATGGGGATATTTTTTTTTTTAATGTTTCACACTGTACAGAGAAAAGTTGCTTCAAAAGAATTCTTTATTTTGTTATCCCTAATGTAAAATCTTCAGATACAGTTTCAAAAAACCCAAGAGTCTTTTAATATACAAAGACTGTTGCTAATATCAGATCTCACTAACCATGGTTTCTGTGTTTTTCTTTTTTTGTTTTTTTTTCCCTAGGAGCAAATCTGCTGCATTACCTATGAACAGGACAATGGGGCCCCAATGAGTCACCCTATTCATGTATTTTTGGAACCCAGAGGAATTGGTTTGACTATTTACAGATTATAACAGTTGGTAGTTGAATGTTTTATTTTCATTCCCAGTTGGTACAATATGTTCACAGCTGATGCTAATGGCTTGCCCATTTGATATCACATATGGTCCACTATTTGGGTCTCCTAAAGCTTTCTTTTGTGGTCAAGCTGCTTTCAAACTTGTGTATGTTTAGGTTTGTTCTGTCTGCTGGAAAGGTGAATATGAATCTCTGAAACTGGGCATCTTTTTAGTAACTCTGCAGTTCTGTTGATAAAGATTCAAAGGATTTGAGACTAAATGTCCCATAAAGAATATTTTTATTTAAAATTGAATAAAAACAAATGTCTTTCAACACCATGTGAGATTCTGAAACAAATATCCTTTCCTCTTTCTTTGTCTTTGAAGCTGTGATTGAGTTACCCTCCAGTGTATGGACACCACTGAGCGTCATCAGGCTGCTTTACTGGGTGTTCAGTTGTATTGGAAACCAATTTATACATAATTTGTATTGCTTAAATTGTCATTTCTATTTTTCGTTGAATATTACTGTTATGATAGTGTTTTATGAAAAGATCTAAGGAAGCAAATTAATTTTTCCTTTGGTTTCTAGAATAAGAGCATAGCAAAACTGAACTAAAAGAATATGAGTACAGAAATTAAAATTACAAGCCAGTCCGAAGTTGTTCTCCTATGATACAAAGTGTTTATACTGACTCTGAAACACAACTGATAAAGCCACAATCTCATAAAAAGATTATTTCCAAAACTATTGCATTACCCTCTGAGAGCTAAAATTCTCATTTATTTGTAGGAGTAGATCATAATAGCTCTTATTCCCTGAGAAGTGGGCATTGTGTGATAATTAAGAAGGGTAGTACATTAATTGTCCTTCACTTCACCTCTAGATGTTTAACTCCTTATCTAGTCAACCAGCAAACAATAATGCTCACTTATTTGTGCCTTACAGTTCAAATAATTTTTTTAACTACATAATTTATTTGAAATGAAGCAGAATGAGCATCTTCATGTGAAAGGGGCATTGAACTGATGTTAGGTTACCATTACTTAATACCATTAGGGGGTAGGATGTGGGTTTTATGGTTGTATTTTTCAGCCATGCAACTTTAGCTGAGTAAGAGCAATGTGGTTTTGCATGCAGGAATATTTCTTGAACTAATGGGACAGATGTAGCAGTTTTTGACATGGCTTCTGCTTTCTGCTGGCCTCTCTCTCACTGATGCCTGTTAGGGGAGAGCAGCTACATGTGTGTTGCAAGTGTCACCTGTGCCTGGGACATCTGGCTCCTGGTGCTGGATTAAATCAGGCATCTGGTGGTAGGACAGAGGCTCTGGCTTGTTCAGTTTTGAGGGAAATAGTGCATGTTGCTGGTTTAGAGTCAGCCCCTGGAAGGAGATTGAAATGGAACTGAAGTAGGAGGCTCTTTCAAGTTAATAAAGTCAATATTCAACCTGGAAAACTAGGGAAAGAAAAACCCAACTATACCCAATGTTTTTGCAAACAAAACTAATAGATGAGAAGTAAAATTCTGCCCTCTACTATAAGCAGTGTCGGGGACATAGAAAATGACAGAAAACTTTAGCATGCTAAGAAATTCACTTGAAATGTCTTTTAAAAAAGGACTAAGGGAATCAAATGATTAATGAATGACTTCAGGAATGGACTCGGTGCCTGATGATGTGGTAAAAAATATTTCTTAGACAGGACTTGGTCAAAATTTGGTAAAATTTTGGGTGCTCTGACTGTACCCAAGAGAGTTAAAGAAGTTAGTGATGTTGCCACTCCCAATTTATTAGACAGAAATGGAAGATTATGCAAGAAGAATTTGGATTTATTGGATAGAAATTAAATTCTATTCAGGAAAGAATGTATTTCTCATAAGTAGCAGAACTAAGTGTTAGGAACTAGAAATAATACTGTTGAAAAATTATTTTTGGGATTTTACAAATAAATCACAAGCCCACAAGACACCAGGAGCAGTAACTTGTTTGGCTGTGGGTATCTGTCAGAACAAAAGTGTAAAAATGCAAAAGTGGTCATAACTTGGTTATCCTGTGACATGGGATATCATACAGCATATTCCCAGGAGTCCATACCCATCAGATTTGGGGTGGCTAAGCCTGCCCTGAGCACACTGTGCTAGCCTGGGCATGGTGCTGCAGCTGTGTCAGCAGCACTGGTACACAGCTGACTACAGCAGAGACAGCCCTACTGCTCATCGTGGAGGTGATGTGCCTTGTGCCCTCTCTAACACCGTGCCACCATCTCCAGAGGCAGTCACAGCGTGTCCCTGTGTGTTGGACATCGTGTCCTTCCCTCTGCTGTGTTGACTCTGGCCTCACTGTGGCCTCAGGGCATCTACTGCAGGACGCTCATGTAAAGGTGGGTTTTGCAGTGTATTGTCCATGCCAAGGGGATTCTGTTGGAAAGAAGTGTTACACTGATTCTAATTTCTGACTAAAAAGATAATTTCTGATTGGTACATGGAGAATTATGTACTTCCTGGGGGATTTAAAAAAATTTTTTATGATTTATTATTACTATTATAATTGTTATTGTTATTATATCATCCAAAACGTGTGAGTACTCTGGCAGGAGCATCTTTGTGTGGTGCCTCCATTCTCTCCGGTGCAGCTAGGGTGAGTGGCAGTGTTGGGCACTGCCCTGCCCTCGGGGGCTCCTGCTGAGCACACACCGGCAGCCTGTGCTCCTGTGCCTCCTCAGCTGGAGGCTGGTACCCACCCCAGGCCAGTGGTGAAGCTGTAGGTCAGACCCTTCAAAGAGTCACCAAAATACAGACCTCACTCTCTGCCCAACAACATATTTTCTTCCCAAAGCAATCAGATCTTTGTTGCTCTCCACTAAATATACTTTCTTTGTTGTGACGGAGAAAGAGCCTGAGGCTGGAGCTTGCCGAGAACACCATGTGGAAGTGGTTTGCTCAGCTGCCATTGCTCAGCAGGGAAAGTGAGGGGTGGGATGGACTTGATGAAGGCAGCTTCATCTTGAAAAACAGTTGATTAGAAAAATACCATCAAATTGTAATTTATCAGCTCTAGATATGTTCTAGGGAATCCTCTCTCATGAATGGGATTAAATTACATATAGTGTTAACCCAGAGTCTTCTGCAACAATGTAAATGAGTTGTTAACATGGTACTTCATTGCAATAATAATTCAAAGCTACTAGCAGGCTTGATGGGTCTGCAATAAATGTTTTATTATTTAGGAAAAATATACTCTACAAGTTGCAATGTGCCATGCTCATTCATGCTGTAAATCAACAAAGATCAGCAGACTGAATAGGGAAAATGAAAAGCTTATTTAGGAACTGACACAAGCTTTCAGATGAGCAGGAATGGCTGAAGTTAACTGCATTCATTTTTCTTTACTTGTCACAGTTGCCACTTGAATTTCACTGCTAAAGATTGTGGGTAGTTTTGCTTTATGAAATTATATCTATGAAAACAGTATTTGCATTTATATAGGCTTAGTTATAATAAAGTTAAACCTAGCACACCCCCTTGCCTCCACAAACAAACAAATCAACCAGCCAACCAAAAACCTCTATGTTAAAATAATATTTATCTGTCAGTTTTCCTAGATCTGAACAGGATTCAGCTAAATGGTTCCCACTGGCTGCTTTAAAGACCTAAAGCCTGTGACCATGTGAAATGCCGGAATGCATAGCTTTCGCCATCCCTTCAACTTCAGCTCTCCTGTAAGGCTGCCTCTCTCCTCACCAGGGTAAACCAAGGGGTTTTTGTAAAAATGATCTTTATGTGGAATGAGGTAAGCCACAGAGTGGGTGACAGGAGTGAGATACTAGGAATTAATATGGTCCTCATGGTATGGTTACAAAGTGCCTGCGATTGGCTCCATTACCATCCTTTCATGTTCCCTTGCACCTGAAGACCCTTTCTTGAATTTTGCAGAAAATGCAGATCCTGAATGCTGAACACTGGCTTGTCCTGGAAACAGAACATGTTTGAACATGGAGTACAACCCCTTGCAAACTCTCTACGTTGATGTCCTTAGAGAGATGTGACTTCTTTGGCTGATCCAGGGGAAGGAGAAATGAGGATAAGAAGACAAGTGAGTTAAGATAACTCATCCCGTGCCTCTCTGTAGGCTTGAAAAAGACAAGGTTTTTTAAGCCAGCTTCAGAAATTATTCTCCTGCCCTGACTTATGCCCCAGGAAGAATGAAGAGAACATGAAAATACTTTTTAAAGGATTTGCCTGATGATGCCACACCCCTAGTCATAGGTCTCCAAAGGGAAGAGCTGCTTTTTATAGGGCAAATAAGCTGGACCTGCCCAATGAGGATGGCAGCAGGAACTGACCATATGAGAATGCTTCAGGATCAGACTGGTATGATTATGCACGAAGTTCTGGCTGCAACACTATCCTGAGAAAGCAGCTCGTGGATGGAGAGAACAGTAAGCAAAAAGCCAGCATGCAGGGCTCTGTTTAGCTTTGTGCCTGCTGGGGTGTGTGTACTTGAATGTGCATTTATATGAACATGAACGTTTATGTGTGTGTGTCTATATACAAGTGATGCAATTTTTGTTTCTCTGTAGTCATCTGCATATTTGTTCTGGTTTGTCAGGTGCTTGTGTCTGCCACTGAATGGATGCTTTCCTTGGTTGTGAAGTTACTTATTCAGCTACAGGATTCACTGTCTATCTCAAGTGTCTATTCTCAGTAGGTCAGTTTGCATGACTTAAACATACCATGATTTTGTTATAATGCCCAGTGTGCCTTCAGGAGAGGAGTCTAATCTTGTAGCCAGCAAAACTGGCTCTGTGCTGAGAAGGCTTCTGAGTCTAGACCTTGGAAATGATGAAAATACAACAGTTTTGCTGCAGGGGTTGTTCCACTGACTTGGTCCTGAGCCTGTTGGGTTGAACAGATGGCATCTCTGGTGTCAGCATCCCATGGCTAGAAGCAGCCTCCTTGGGGCAGATGCTCTGCACTGCAGTGAGCAGTGGTGGGTTGGGTGTGTTCCTCCAGCCCCTGGGACTGCTGGCAAGGCCCTGCTGCTGGGTGCTGCTGCCTCCTGTGGATGGACAATGCTGAGGCCTGGCCATCACATCTTCCTGAGGAGGCTTCAGGACTCTTATCCTGAATTTTTCACTTTGAGTTTTAAGCATATATATGATGTGAAAGAAACCTTTAGAAAAGGGTGTGTTACCCTCCCCTATTTATTTTGTCAACCATGAAATTGAAATTACTTTACTCCTTTGGAAATTATGACTGGTTTGTTTGTGAGAATAGTGTATGCAAAAAAAATTAATTTGGAGATGTGTCTTAGACTTATTTCAGATAGTTATCTGAAGCTTTTGTTATCATAATCACTTTAAAAAAGGCAAACATAAGCCAAAGACTCCAAAGAAGTCGCTGAGATAATGCACTGTGAAAAGATTTCAGTTTGCTTCACTGAGAAAAGTTTTGCTTCTTGAGCCAGCCATTTATATGCTTAGGAAAAGTCCAATTAAGATGACTGAATTGTAAGTGTCATAAAGTAGAGAAGGCAGGGGACATTTAATTATAGCTGTGCTGCCAGGCACCAATAGAACAAAGGAAAAAATGTTCACCTAAAGCACAAAGTACTGCCTATTACATTTGCTGTAAAAAAGAGACAATATATGGTCTAAACACACTTTTCTAAATAGTTCAAAAAGCTGCACCTTCTGATTTCCATGAAGCTGTTTTTCCGATTATCAACATAGTTTAAGAAAAAGAAATACCGTTTTAATATTGAGACCTTCAACTTTGGTCACAGGTTGAAAAGGAAGCATCATGCATTAAGGCAAAAATGTTGCCTGAGAAAATGGATTTGTGACCCAGAAGAATGTATAATTGATGTGTGTGCTTGTCTGAACGGTAGAATAACAATAGTAACCATTAGAGATGAGAGCTGGAACTAGTCAGGCAGTGAGGCAGGATGTATTTTATAGGTCATCTGGGCTCCATTCAGATCTACAGGTTGCTGTTCCTTCTCCATACTTGAAAGCATTTAATAGATTATTACAAAAGGAAAAGGATGGTATGCAGTAATGGTTTAAATTGAAGCTCTGTATATATATCACCACTGTGTGACTTCTAAATGAATGCTTCATTTTTAAAATTCTCCCATGACATACTTGAAAGTTTGCCAGAGCATCAACGAATTAAAACAATGAATTGACCAGCAGCAAAAGACCCTGAATAGTACAGTAGAAACAGTTGTTCTCTTCTGTGGCATAGACAATAACAAATAAGAAGTCCCCAAGAAAATTTATTCCAAAGTTGTCTGTTTTCTTCAAGGCAGATGAACTGATTTTCTTCTCTTTTGTTTCATCATGTTAAAATAAGAAAAAAGACAGAATTTTGGAAAGAGGTTTAACTGTCAAACAATCAAAGCCAAAAGCACGTAATAGTGAAGTCAAATTCAGATTCCCTTCTTGCCTGGAAAATGCTTCTTTCATATCAAAATTGATACAAGTTAAAGGGTGGAGAATCTTTTGTGCTTTGTTTCACATGAACATAAAAGTTTTATTCCTGCTTTTAATGGGTAGTATTTTACAAATGTAATGGAACATAATTTTACCAGGTTTCCCTAAGGGAAAGTCAGGGCATGATTACATAGGCAGTCCCATCTCATTTAGTATAATGCTTACAATATAGATGCAAATATACTTATGTAACTCAAGTTAGAGGTAGATTGAATAGCATTCAGATAATCATAGAGCAGTGCAGATGCTGAAGAAAATTTTGCAGGAGAAATATGCATTGAATGACTGCTCCCTTGCAGCCACATGTGCCCCCAGATAGTGTTTCTCTGCGAGGCTGAAGATTCAAGCTGTGCCAGACAGAAGTACCTGGCATGTGTACAGTTTGCTACCTGAGGATGAACATTTTAGCTTGTCCCTGTTGATAGCATATCCCAGTGAGCAGTGACAGTGGTAGATCAAGGGGATGGAGACCCTTGTGGCTTGCAGTGTTCCCAGCAGCAGGGACAGCCTGGCAAGTGAGCCATCCTCTTCTGGCACAGCTCTTGCACTGTCCCTCAGGGCTGCAGGGTGGGACACAGAGGGGCTGCATGGGCAGGGAAGGAGGTTTAAGTCACCTCAGGTAGAAGCGCAGAGTGACAGAGCTGGGAGTGTAAGGATGACAGTGTGCTCTCCAAGCTCCTTTCACAAAGAGTTTTTCAGCTAGAGATTAAATCTTTCCATTGTGAATAATAATGATGCAATGTAGTGCATGCTGTAATTCTCACACTTTTGGTATAAAAAGCAATTAAAAATCTGTGTTATAAGCTAATATCAAGGGTCTCCTATTTATAGGAGTTGTAGGGGTCCTCTTTCTGGGGTGGCTTGTGCATTGTTGAAACAGTGATCTGTAAGAAAAGTGATCTCCTTCTTACAGGGGATGATTGAACAAATGTAAAACATTATATTAGCACATGTGAGATGGAAATTGTCTATTTCATGAAAAATTGGTAGTCTGTCACTTTTTTTTTTAATTGCCAGACTGTCTTCTCAGATCTCTTTTTGAATTTGATGTAGATCACCACAGAGAAACTATTCCAAATTTTCATCTAAGTGGTATAACAGCTTAGTGTACATAAACCTAGTCTTGATGCTGGTTATTTGGAGATGCACATTTTTCTCTAAATGTAACCTGCTTGGAGTCAAAGCAAAAGCAGTTTCTAGAGCTCTTCTGCAGGACCACTGGCAGCAGAGCTGCTGCTTCTGCACCAGGTGTGCAGAGGTGTTGCTGTAGCTGGCATGTAGATTGCAGGTGTGAGACCAGCAGTGCCTCTGGCAGCTACTGCCTCTTTGGGTCGGCAGATTCCTTCTCATTCTTTCTGGGGAAGGTCAAGAATTAACAGAGACATTAAAAAAAATGAAGCTCAACATCTCTCTGTGTTAGATTTCATTTAAACTTTCCCTCTGTCATTGTAGAAAATAGCAATAGATAGGTTAGCACAAAATCTATGTTGCAGGTATATGCCTGTATGTGCTGTGGAGAAAACTGAATAGACAGTATTTGGAGAATTAGTTGCCTTTTTCTCTGTGTTTTAGTTAGAGCTCTCTGTTTGCTGGTACATTTAGAACCAAACTGTCTTTTAGCATTAAACAAAGAGGAATCTTTGTTTAATGTACTTTTGCTTTATTTTCTTTGGATTTTTATTTGCCACATCTCAATTACCTGTCAATACTCAGAAATGTGAATTGCATCAATTTAATTTTTGTCAAGTGTAAAATTTATCATTCAGATAAACTAACATCAGAGTCAGTATCAGATTGAGGAAGTGTTTGCTCTTCCTTGCTCATTAGTTAACATTTCATCTGTGAGTGTGCGATGGATAAATTTCAGTGTGCATCTGATTTAACCTCTAAAAATGTATCTTGTCATGATTTAACTGCAGGCAGCAGGTAAGTACCACGTAGTACCTAGTGGGAAGGGGAGGAGAATCAGGAAAGAGGTAAACCTCATGGGTTGAGATAAGAAGAGGTTAATAATTGAAGTAAAGTAAAAAAAAAAAAATAGTAACAACAGAAAAAGAGAGGGGTTTGAAGAAACAGGAGATGCACAACAGAACTGTTCAGTTCACCAGTGTGTGACCGATGCCCAGCCCATCCCCAAGCAGTGATCAGCAGCTCTTGGCCAACTCCCCCCAGTTCATTTACTGAGCATGACATTCCGTGGTGTGAATGTCCCTCTGGCCAGCTGGGGTCAGCTGTACCAGCTGTGCTCCCTCCCAGCCTCTTGTGCACCTGTTTGCTGGCAGAGCATGGAAACTGAAAAAGTCTTCATTTACAGTAAGCGCTACATAGCAACAGCTAAAACATCAGTGTGTCACCAGCAGTATTCTCATACTAAATCCAAAACACTGCACTTTACGTGCTTGGAAGAAAATTAACTCTCTCCCAGCTGAAATCTGGGCACCTCAGGTGAGGGAGGTGGGCACTCCAGTGCTGTGCCAGCCCAGCTCAGGAGGACAAAAATGCCTTCCATCCCAAATTTGTCCCGTGAGAATGCCTTGTTTGACTGTCTTTTCATGCTTAATAAGACATTTCCAGATGGACTGTAATACTGAAATCAAGTTTTGCTTCTTTGTTTACTTTTCAAGATTAGCAACAGCTTAGACTGAGCACTTCAGTCGGTGATCCTGTCAGGTGTCCCAGGTTCCACACCTGCTGCTGGTATTTTCCTCTGCACTATAAAACGGTGCTTCTGGTTTTGCTGTTTGTAAAACAACTTTAACTGTTTTATATAGGAAATTTGTAAACCAAGTAAACTGGTATTGTGGTTTAATGCCAGCAGAAATTCAGTAAAGGAGCCTTTTGGTTAACGAAGGCTTGTTCCATTTGTAGGAAAATTCAGATAAATTAAGGATATATGTGAAGCAAGTGCACCAAGCCTACAGTGCTTTAAGCTCCTCTGTGGA